CTGGGTGAAACGGAAAGTAAGGAAGCCTTTCCAACGGCTAGAGCGCCCCGGAAAGGCCACTCAGGCCACGCCCACACAAGAGAACTGCGACCTCCTATTGGACTGAACACCTATTCATCATCCCTGCCTGCCCAATGGTGAGCTTGCTAGGCATTTTGGATTGCCCTGAACTGAGGCTCGCGAGATCAGGTTACAGATTCTACGCTCTGCCTTTAGCCAGGAAGGTTTTACATCTCGGGATTGGAGAGGGAGTGGGTTTGGGGAGAATATCTTAGCGAAAGTACTTTTATTCATGCCAGAGGTATTTATTGGCACTAATATAAGAGTTGAGAAGGCATCGCTGAAAAAAAAATTCCATACCCTCATAATTATTACGGGATCATTTGAAAATGAACCAGTCCCTCTGCCAGAATCCCTGTGAGGAATGCTCAGACACCACCTCCTTTATCATTCATATATTTTCTCAAACCTCAAAAAGCACAATTTAACAAAGATTTGGATGACCGAGGGCTAATAAACCAAAGTCCCTGCATCACAGAGAGAAAAGGGTTTGTGATGGATCTGGCAGAAATTGTTTCATCTGGGAAAATGGCAACTATTAATAATCTTTCTACTCACGTTTTGTCGTTGATGCCTAACTTTGTTTCACAGTACATAGCTAATCTAGTTTACAACAAAATTGTGTTGCTTCTGCTTTAAAAATATAATCAGAATCTTCCTCTGAAACATGTAGTTCAAGCTATAATTTTCTCCAGCCTGGACTAAGCCCTGGCCTCCTGGCTTCCCTGTTGCCCTCTTTAGTACCTCCGTTTAGCCAAAGAAATGTTGTTCTCTTAAAAAAAAAAAAATGTTCTTTTTAGATATACATGACAGTATAATGTATTTTGACATATTATACATACATGGAGTGCAACCCATTCCAATTAGGATTCCATTCTTGTGGTTGAACATGATGTGGAGTTACACTGGGTATATTCATATATGAACATAGGAAAGTTATGTCTGATTCATTCTACTGTCTTTCCTATTTCCATTCCCCCACCTTTCCCATCATTCCCTCTTGCTAATCCAATGAACTTCTGGTCCTCCCTCCCTACAACTCCTTATTGTGGGTCAGCATCCACATATCAGAGAACATTTGGCCTTTGTTTTTGGGGATTGGCTTATTTCACTCAGCATGATAGTCTCCAGTCCCATCCATTTATTGGCAAATGCCATAATTTCATTTTTATTTATGGCTGAGTAATAAGAAATTCTGTTCACACCTCAGTCAGAAGGAGCCTCTTCCTCAGCCCAGAACTTCCCCCACCCCAAATTTTGATCTGACTCTTAATCTAAAGCTAAGCTCCTTACAAATGATCTACTTAATTTGGCCCCTTTATACCTTCATCTAGTCCCCTGTCTTCCTCATCCTCACCACTCCAGGCACACTAGTCATCCAGCTGTTCCCAAACATACAGTCTGGCTTTCCTTTAAGTGCTTTTGCCCTTGTGGTTCCCTGAGCTTGGAATGCTCTCCCTAGATGGCTCCCTCTCTCCCCTCCTTCAGTTTGCTCAGATTCACCATCTGGATGAGTCCTTCTCAGACTTACTATTTAAAATTGCAATTTTGTCAGTCTCCATCCTCCTTCCCTACTCCACAGCTCTTTTCTTCTCCTTTCTTTAAATCATGTTTACACCTTTTTGTCTGTTTCAATAGAATAGAGGCATCGTAAAGGAGCAGTTTTTGTCTGTCTTATTCACAGTCCATCTAAAATGTTGCCTGACACATAGGAGGTGCTCTATAAATATTTTTAAATGAATAAGTGAGTGGGACAGCTGAGGACTAGTAGAGGGAGGTATTTAAGAGAATTGTTTTCTCTCTCCCCTTAGTCTGGCTTCTGAAGCTTTCCACATATTATCTCTGAAGCAGCATGAAGTTCTAACTGGATCAAGGACCTCTTGTTCTGTGCCCATCAACAATGCAATCATTTGCGGAATTACCTATTCATAGCTGCATCCATCCTCCTCAATAAGATCTTTCTAAAGCCCAAATCCCTCTCCTGCTCAAACCCCTCTATGGCTCTCCAGTGCCCTGGAGACAAAGTTCAGACTCCTCATCATGGCTCCTTGGTGAACTCTTTGTGAACTGGCCCACATTCCTCTTTCTAGCCACACCAATATTATTAAATGGTGCTGTGAGATTTTCCACCTCTGAGCCTTTGCTCTTGCTGTTTATTCTTCCTGAAACATTCTTTGCCCACCTACTTCTTTTTTTTTTTTTTTTGAGAAAGAGTGACAGAGAGTGAGAGAGAGAGAGAGAATTTTAATATTTATTTTTTAGTATTTGGCGGACACAACATCTTTGTTGGTATGTGGTGCTGAGGATCGAACCCGGGCCGCACACATCCCAGGTGAGCACGCTACTGCTTGAGCCACATCCCCAGCCCCTGGCCACCTACTTCTCAAATCACTTGTTTCTTCCTCCAGAAAGCCTTCCCTGTCTCTCCTGCTCCTGGGCGAGGTCAGTTGCCTCATTTTGGGCTCTCATATTTCTCTGGAGTGCTTCATCCCAGCCCTGACCATTCTGGTTTGTCCCTGTCTGATGATGGGTCTGGGATCTGTCTTCCTGGAGCACTGTGAGCTCCCTGAGGGCAGGGTTCAGGGATGTTTTGATGGTATATCCCCACTATCACGCAGGAGGACCATACAGTAGGTTCTCTGTAGGGCCTTAGAGTTCCCAGAAGGGGTGGGTTCTCAGTAAATTCCCAGTAAGCATTCATTAGGGTCTAGGTCTTGGTTCTCTGTTTTCCAACTTGGAACAGGAAATCAGAGTACCTTTGGTGTTGGGGGAGCCAAACATTAGGTCTAATTCCTTGATGATCCCTAGCACTGGGAAGGCATTAAGTAAATCCTTTTTGTAGTCTGAGTCTTATCTTCAAGAGTACACGGCCAATGAACTTCCATAATTGGGTCTTGTGTTAATCAGATTTTCATTACTATAAGGAAGTACCTGAGGTAGCATAATTTATGAAGAGTTTTACTTTGGCTTGCCATTCTAGAGATATAAGATCCAAATAGCATAGCTCAGGCTCTGTCCAGGGCTTCCCATTGACTATATCCTTTATGATGAATGACCTTGTTGTCAGGTGTGATACTGGGCATTGAACCCAGGGGTGCTCTACTATTGAGTATATCCCCAGCCTTTTCTTTTTTTTGGGGGGGGGCAGGGTTTTGAGGCAGCCCATAGCATGAGAGACAGGGAACACTCCTGTTGCATCACACAACTAAACCAGTCAGGGTTACTCCAAGTGAATTTGGAGAGTAAATAAAGACATGGATACAGAAAGTAACTTTTCTTTGGGTTCAGTGACTGCTCCTCAGCCGCAGCTCCCTCAAGGGGTCAAGGCGGGCAAGAAAGAGCCAGGAGCACGTGCTGAACTCTTTTACTGGGGAGAAGCCATTCAATGAGGCAAGGGGTCAGGTTTCAGGGGGTTGAGTCTAGCTTCCTGACATCTGCTGTCAGCAGGTTGACTGATAGCTAGGAAGGCCACGCCCATCTCAAGGGCTGTGTGGGGATCTCAGGCAGAGCAGGAGAAAAGACCATAAGTCACCTGCCCAGACAGAAGAGCACATGGGTTCAGACCACCCTGTGCACTCAGTGCTCATAGTTCACACACACAGCCCATGGCTGGCTTGCCACAGCTCCACATTCTCATCACTCAAAGCTAAGGGGCATTCAGGTTCCCAAGTGGCAGCTCCCCACCTACTCGAGTCTGTGTCTCCTTTTCTTCACAAAGCCACAGGATTCAATTGTGGGGTTCTGCTATAAGGACCTTATCTAATCTAATCAATTCCCAAACTGGCCACCTCTAAACACCATAGTTTTTACTCTCCTAATACCATTAACATAAGACTTTGGGAATTAAATTCCCACCTATATTGGGGGAACAAACCATATTCAAGCCTTATGCTGTGGGTTTGGATGTGAAGTGTTCCCCAAAAGCTCACATATGAGACAATGCAAGAGAGTTCAGAGGAGAAATGATTAGGTTGTGAGAGCTTTAACCCAATCAGCCTTAACCCAATCCCTTGCTAGGGATTAACTGAGTGATAACTGAAGGTGGGTAGGGTAGGGTATGGCTGGAGAAGATGGCATTGGGGATGTTGCTTGGGGTATATTGTGTATGAGGGGAGTGGAGTCTGTCTCTGATCATCATGTAAGCTGACTCCCTTTGCCACACTCTTCTGCCATGATGTTCTGCCTCACCTAGAGACCTGAGGAATACAGCCTCTGACGATGGATTGAGACCTCTGAAATCATGAGCCCCCAAATAAACTTTTCCTCCTCTACAATTGTTCTTGTCAAGTCTTTTAATCACAGCAGTGAAAAAGCTGACTGATACACTGTATCAGGTCTGATTCCTTTGCAAGTCCCTGCCCATGGCAGACACACAGTAGACCTTGTGGATACCAGGTTGGATTCCTTTGTATGTCCCAACAGGGTGGGCAAACAACTGATTCCCTAAATTAGGTCTGGTTCTCAAAGTCACGGTTGTGTCTTGGGATCTTGCAGCCGGAAAGGTGGGTGGCTTCTTAACTCCAAAATTAATCCTTGAGGTGACCTGTGTTTAGGCTGCAGGAGGAGCCAAGGTGTATTGGTAAAGAGGGGGCCTATGGCCTAAGGGGGACTGTAGCAGAGGGGCAGGGCTTAGGTAGCTAAGAGCTCGCAAAAGAAAGGCGGGTGTTGGGGCTAAACGGATAAATAAAATAAAGGTATTGTATCCAACTACTACTAAAAAATACATATTAAGAATAAAAAAAAAAAAAGGAGGGGAATACCTAGACCCTGGTAATCTAGGGGCCAAAGGGATGGGGACCCAGGATGATGTGAGATGAGGATCCGACACTTGAGCACTCCTAAGTAGGGGAGGCCAAACTCCTAAATGTGGGGGTGCACACTTAGGCTTTTTGGCGGGTCTAGTCACTGTCGTGGGAAGGACACAGACAAGCACGCGATAGGAGGTTTGAGCGGATATTTTTATTGGATCTCTGTTCCTTGACTGTCCTCCGAGCAGTCCCGACAGGGTATACCGGGCACTCGGCCCCCGAAGCGGTACGTGTACTTGCGCCCACCGCTCTTGCGCACGATGTCGCGGCGGTAGTAGTAGCGTAGACCTCGGCTCAGCTTCTCGTAATTCATGCCGGGCTTCCTCTTGCGCTCGCCCCACAGCCGCGCCACCTAGGTCGGAGGGGGGGACTTCGTCAGGGGACGGATGGGGCGGGGCCGAGATAGGATCGGGGGAGCGGACTTGGGGACCCGACTCTGGTGGTCTGGACGCGGGTCTGATACCGCCTAGGTGGATTGAATGCGGTTGGTTGAAGCTGGAACCCGGACTCATTTTAAACCCGGTCTAGAGAGGGCGGAGTGGGGGCGGGGCCGAGGATTAGGCACTGGGAACGGCAGGATTAGGTTAGAGTAGAGTCGACCCGGGGTTTGGCGGGCTAGCGGGGTAGGGGAGCTGCCCCACCTCTTTGGGGTCGCACAGCTGGAACTCGCGGCTGTTGCCAGTCCAGCGGATGCAGCTGCTACGCGCCTGGTCGTGGAGCAGCTCCAGGAGGAACTGCCACAGCTGAATGGGACCTGAGAGGTGAAGGCAGGTGAACACTCAGGCTTCTTAGCCCCAGACTTCGCCTTTTGGAAGATCTAAGACTCCAACAGGAGTCCAAATGTCCTCTCCTTGGGGATCCTTGAGTTCGGATCCCTCCATATAAAGGAATCAAGTGTCAGCCTCAGGGACCCAGAGGTCCAGAATCCCCATCTAGTAGATTTAGGAGTTTGGCCTCTCCATCTTGGCGATTCGGGCGTCCAAATCCTTATCTCTTTCCTCTGATATAACCCAGGAGCCTGGATCCTCGTCCCCTTAGTCTTTAGAAGACCATCAGAGTCTTAGTCCTCTCGGCCCTCCCCTCGAGTTCTCGGTACCTAAATCCCTCCTTTCACTGCCAGTGTCCTGGGTCTGCCCCCTTAGGTGCCCCGGCACCGCCACGTTACTCTGGCTTCGCTACCTCCTCAGTCTTCCAGGACCTCTCACCTCGGTGGTTAGTTTTGGGGTAACGAGCCAAGGCATCCCGGACAGATTTCTGACTCTGTTCGGAGGGAGTGGTGACAGCTGAACTCTGGTACCCCTTCGAAGAGATGCTGCACTCTGTATGCAGCCCCGGATCCCACGAGGTGGCACAGTTCGAACCCACCGGCTCACTCCACGAAATGGCACAGTTCGCGCGCGGTTCCCCGCTGAGGCCGTTGCCCCAGTAGGTGGCGCCGTGGGAGCCCACAGAACAGTCCCAGCTGATGGTGTTTCTGGCAGCCTGGATGTGCGACCACGTGGTGTCACAGTTCTGGCCCACCGTCCCTTCGGAACCAGTGAAGGGGACAGGACCAGGGGCGGGGCCCAGGATCTGGGAGGCGTGGTTCCAAGGGTCCGAGGCAGTGCAGGTGGTGCGGGACAGGTCTGCCCAGTCTCCTGACCACGCAAGGGCCTGAGGGGCTGGCTCTGTGAGGAGGTACAGACCACAAGTGAGGGGAGCTCAGGGATCCTGGTACCCGGACCCCTTGAGAGTTCTAGCTGTCACTCCTGGTGCCTCCTGTCCAGGGTCCCCAGATCAAGACCATGCCACCTTGAGGATGCAGGCATCTCCAGTCCTAGCCCCATCCGCTTCAAAGAATGGGGAGGGGGATTCTAAACCTCCAGACCCAGCACCTTCGGACCCCTTCTCCCACCGCCCCTCTGCATACACTCACCTGCCCCCCATGAAGCTTCTGGATGTGCTAAGGAGGGGCTCCAGTCCAGCTCTGGAAATCCTGTGAGGGATTAGATGGCAGCTGAGTTCAAGAAAGGGCGGAAGATTTGGAGACCTCTTCAACCACCCACCCATCCACTGGTCTTTTCATATCAGGGGTTGGGAGTTATTCACTCAGGACTCAGGACCCTCTCTTTCTTTGACCTCGGGAGTCCGGGAGTCCCCTCGTCCCTAGGAACCCAGCCTTCCTCCTCCAAGACACAGGGCTCCCAGCCCGGGAGCCAACCTTTCCAGCATGTCTCCGCTGTCGGCGTTTCTCCTTGGAGTGCCAGTTCAGGGAAATAGAAGCCAAATTCAGCGCCTTCTGCAGACAAGAAGGACGTCCAGGCCCGGTCAGGAGTCAGCAGAGGCCCTTACCCCCGCACCCTCCCCACACGGAGTGTCTCAGCCCCAGCCGCCTACCCAACCCTGACAGCTGGTTCCCCGGAGGCACTTCCTGTGGTGATGCTTCATCCCCATTCCACAAGTCCATGGATGCTCCTTCTGAATATTCTGGGTAGGGAAAAGTGCAATGGGCAAAGGAGGACCCTTAGGGACCCCGGAATATGGGCCCCTACCCTTGCCTCCCTCAGACCCAGGATCCAGCTTTTGTTCCTTCCTTCTACAGGAACCTGAAATCTTGGCCTCCAGTTCCCTTTCCTCTCAAAGGAGGAGTGAGGAGTCTTAAGTCCTTTTTGTCACTGAGGCCCAGGAATCTAGAAACCCGGGTCCCTCCCTAACCCAGACACCCAGGCATCCATCCAGTCCCCAGTTCGTGGCTCACCTCTGGTGGGTTCCTCTGCCCGCAACCGGGGGTCTCAGCTCCATTTCATACCATGCACCCCCTCCCTCGGGAGCCTGGGCAGGGGGGAATTTTCCGAGACGTCAGAGCAGGGGGTCGCAGATTGGGTCGGGTTGCAGGGGTTGGGGCGGGGCCGAGTGGCGCCCCCGGCCTCAGGGATGCCACTGGCTCTGAAGCTGTTTCATTGCCAGGGTGGGCATTTTGAGCTTGGACGAGAGCTTTTGGGGGACAGCGAGCTGGGCGAGTCCCATCCGAGAGGTGTTTACGGGGTGATGAGGGCGGGGCGAGGGGCTTAGTGGAGAGGTGCTCAGACTTGGGGATTTGATCCCGCGACATGGGAGGTGGTGGGGGAGGAGGACCTGGGGTCAGCTGGGCTGCACCGGGCTTATCTGCAACAGGAAGAGGGATTTCCGGCCAGATACCCCCTCCCCAGCTGACGTCACAATTGGCAGGGTGAATGTGGGTTGGGGTGGGGTGGAAGGAGGAGAACCTGAATCCAAATCCCCCACCCCCCCCCAACAGGATCAGCGGGGGGAGGGCCTCCTGGAGCTGCTCCCCAGGAGTGTCAATCATAAGAAGAGTAACATCAACAACTTGAATGATAAGCGCTAGTAATAACAATAGCTAACCTTAAGTGAGGGCCTGTTGTATTTTATATGCCAGAGAATCACATGCAAAGGTCCTTCATTTAATGAAGGTCCATTTTATGAGGTAGATACTGTTCGTCCCTGTTTTATGAAGGAGAAAATTGAGGCAGACATCCTCCCACTTCTCTTTCCAAAGCCCATGTACTTCCATGCTCTAAGTTTGAAACTGGAAAATTTTGAGTATAAATTCAATGAGATATCACATGGAGTTATTAGATGTGGTGATGGCATTTTATGAAAGATGTCTCTGTGAAGAAATAAACACAGATATTCAGGGTTGAAGAGCTATAATACCTGTAACTTGCTTAAAAAATTAATACACATGAACATGTTTATCTGAAATTCATAAGTAGGTATTCCATATTGCTATTTGCTGTCTGGCAACCCTAACCTCAGGCAACCTGGCCTTAGATACTGTGTTTGTGCCAAACCTCCTATACAAATAAGTAAATATTTACTGCTAGAAAGAATCTTTTTTAATATGGAGAGTTATCAATATTCATTCAGCTTCATAAAATATTTGTCATTCTGGAGGTAGGAGTTGTGTGGAGAGCACTGCTTTTCTGTTCAATTTAAAGAAGGGAAACTGGACCTCAAGAGGGAGAGTCACTTGGAACTGGGATTGGAACCCAGTGGGAGCAATCCATTGAGCCCTGGGGTATAACTCCATCCATTCACTCCATGTATCTGAAGGGAGTCCTGGCCTCCTTTCCCTGAAGCTGGCCTCTTTCCTGTCTGTCTCCATGTGCTTCTCCCCTGGTTGGTGTCCCCAGATATGTGGTCCCTGTTGTACCAGGACTGACTGAATCCAGTGAGGTCTTGTCACTCAGTATCTCACACAAGTCTTGCTCCCTCCCTTCTTTGAGTGTTCCATCTTCTCCATCTCTCTGAGTTTTCTCCCCACTTCCCTTCTCATTGCAGTCTCTTAATAGTTCTTATCACTCTGCCTGAGCTTTCCCCTCTCCCTCCATCTCTGTATCTTTGCCTGCTCTTCCTCTCCATCTCTGTGCATATCTCTCTGGGTCCTTGACAAGACTCCTGTGCTTACTTTAACAACCCTTCTTTCCGGAATCACTCTCTCTTTCCATGTCCTTCCTGTCCCAGAGGTTGCAGTAAGCAGATCAGGGATAGGAAGGGCTAGTGATAGGGAAAAGGGGTTTGAGGGTCCTGGAACTGGGAGGTCCAGCCCAGGTGGCAGGGGGCTAAGGGCACTTCCTGCCAAGGAGGGAGGCCCTCACCTCAGACCAGACTGGAAAATATGACGTCAGAGAGGAGGCAGTAAGAGAGGGGAAGACAGGAACAGAAGAAATTTGATACCTCTCCTGGGTGATCTCCTTCCTGAGAGGCCTTGGTATTGCTGCTCCCAGCCCCCAGCCCCAGTCCTTCCCTGACTTACCCCCTAGCCCAGGGCTCTATGGCTGCATCCCTGGGAGATTTTCATTCCTTTTCCGCAGTCCAACCCCGCAAGCCCCTTAGAACCTACCCTAACCTCCTTCCAGACCTCCAGTGCTCAGTGGTGGTCCCTTGGTTTTCTAAACCCATAGTATGTGATGCCAGTCAGTTCCTGCTTGCTGCCTGAACTTTGTCCCAGCTTCTCGGGTTCTCTGCTGCCTTTAGGGTAAAGCCTAAGCGCTTAGCCTGGTGATCAAGTCCTGCTTGGACACCTCTTCAGCAGGTGGAGGCAAACTCCAAGAAGGAAAAAGAACCAGAGATACACATATCTAGAGACAAGAAACAGAGGGCACTGAGAGACCCACGCAAGACAAGTTGGCTGACATATGGCAGAGTAAAGAAACTAAAAAGCGAACCAGAGTAATGGCAGGAAGAAAACCCGAGTGGATAGTTCTTTAGGAAGCCTTCCCTGACCCCCAGGGAACCCCCTGCTGGCCCTGGCCAGTCTGGGCCTACTCTCTGACACTGAATCATGAACTCTGAGGAAGCAGGGTACAGGACTGTTTGTCGTTTGTCACCGCTGATGATGCTGTCACCCAGCATCATCCAGGCCCTCGATGAGAGTTTGCTGACTGCTTAAAGCCTAAAGGCTGTGAGCTCCAGAAGGCAAGGTCTAGGAGACCTCCTATCTTGATGCTGATAACACAGGCTGGTGTGTGGAAACTGATCTGAAATCTGAGCCTCAGCTTGGATGTTACCTTCCCAAAGCCTTCCTTCCTGCTCTGGAATAGGCGGCACTCAGTATGCACTTAAGAGGTTTTAAGTGGAGGTAATGGGCACATAGTAGGGGCTCAAAATGCTCATCTGGATGTTTTGCCTGGGTAAAACTTCAAGGCTACTCACATTCTCAGGTGAGGAAAAAGCCTGGTACCCAAAGAGTTCTTCCAAGCACAGCCAGGGATGGAAATGAACGTAAATTTATTGAAACTGGTTTTGGGGCAAGTGTGTGGATAGTTGAGGGTTTTCTAAAGACAGCTCTGGGGAGGAGCCAGCGCCCGGCCGGATGAGAGCGGGTGCCCAGCCACAGACCCTATCTCAGTCCCAACTTCTTCTTTTCCTTCTGCTTCTTGCGGACCACATCCAGGTTCCGGTCCTTCCACATGCTCTTACGAAGCTTGATGGGGCGTGAGCCCACATATTTCCCTGTGGGACAGGAGGACTTAAGGTAAGGCTTGGGGTAAGGCTTAGGCCAGATGCCTGCCGTACCCACTGCCCCTAGGGAAAGCCTCACCCACCATTCATCTCACGCATGGCGCGCACATAGTCACTTGGGTCCTTGAAGCTGACAAAGCCATAGCCCTTGGTCTTGCCTGTGCGCTTGTCACGGATCACCTTAGCCTTAAGGAAGGATGGGAAGCGGCTGAAGGCACGTGCCAAGATGTCATCATTCACCTCATTGCCCAAATCCCCGCAGAAGATCCGGAAGTCATCTGGGGTTGGGAGAGAGAAGTCAAAAGAAGCAGATGCTGGCCCCTGTCCACCCTATTTTAATGACCCCATCTTCTCTGATGCATCCTTAAGCTCTCTTTCCTCTATTCCCAAAGTCTCTACTGGGATCCTTGGTGATAACAGCCAACATCTTTGTAGTATTTACCCTGTGCCAAGTACCCTGGGGGGTTTACATATCTGATGCTCCCAACATCCCTTTCACACTGAGGCACAGAGAGGTCAAGCAGCTTCAAACTTACACAACTAGGAGGTGGCAGATGGGACATGAGCTCTGGCATCTGGCTCCAGGGTCCTCACTTTTAACCTCTAACTGTATTGCTTTTTCTCACCCAGGACTGTCACATATTCCCATGAAGAAGCCCTGAATTCTGACCTGGTCCTGGCCTTCCCTCTGAGACCTTGTTGTTCCTTGGTCTCCTGGACACCTCTCCAAGGATATCCCCTGGGCTTGACACTCACCAGTCTCCCACCATGGCACCTCAGCACCACAGGCTTCACCTTTCTTCAGCTATGCAGAGGCTGCTCTAATTCTACCTTGAAATTGCACACTATGTGACTTTCTCCAAAGCTGATCTCAGCTGCCACTCTTGGGAATATCCCTGGGCAATATCCTAGGCCTGAGCCTAGACCGATCATACTCTACCCCAATGAATCACTATCCTCAGAAAGCACATATCATTATTTTCTTCTTGGAGATAGGAAAATGAGGCTTGAAAGGCTAACTACCAAGGTCTCAGATCTAGGGTCCCAAACCAACACTGGACCCATCTGGGTCAAGGCTGCTTGGCCCTGACCTGGGGCAGGTATATTGTCCCAGGATAGGAGGCAAAAGTCAAGGACTTGGTGGGAGGTAAGTTTATTTTCCTCCTCAGCTATCGTCATGGTTGCCCCAGGCTTCTATGATGGTTAAGGACACTTTGAGAACAAGCTAGGCCATCCCAGGAGGAAACAATCTGACAAACTAAGAGAGTAGGAGCTTCTAAGACACTTGGCCTGGACATTTGAAAAAATTATACATAACACAAGGAGGTGGAACATGCCTGTAATCCCAACAGCTTGGCTGAGGCAGGAGCATTACAATTTCAAAGTCAGCCTCAGCAACTCAGCAAGACCCTGTCTCAAAAGACAAAAACAAAAACAAACAAAACCCCAAACCAACCAACCAACCCCCAAAAACAAAACAAAACCAAACCCAAGGAGGTGGGAGGAAGACCATTCTCATTGAAAGTTAATATGTGGCTGCAGAGGTGCCTCCTGAGGCCAGTCAGTACATAGACTGGCTTCCCCTCCCAGCCAAAGCATCTCCATGGACAGGCCTCTTCCCACCACTCTCTAATCACTCTTGCTGCTGAGGGTGACAATCCAGGGAAAGGTTCACAAGGGGCTCAGGAAGCAGAGGTACCCCCTAAAGCTTCCCTTGCCCAGCTGGATCTATAGCTACCACCTGGGCCAGTGGGCAGGGTGCTGGTTGAAACCTAGACATGCCACTGACTTCTACCCTACCATGCCTCCTAGGCCTTACTTTATATGAACGAGTACTCATTTCTCCTGGGTTTGAGACTTGGTCAAGTGAATCCCAGGATCTAACTGTGCTTAGCCCAGATTATCTATAATTTATTTATTTAGGGATGCTGGGGATGGAACACAAGATCCTGCATGACAGGCAATTGCTCTACCACTGAGCTGTGCCCCCTCAGCCCTCTAAGCCCTATTTAAACAGAATAAAACAAAACAAAACAAAACAAAAATATATATATAACGTAGAGACATAAAACTACATGTATCCTGGCTTGGGAAAAATAGCTGTAAGAATGTTTTGAGAAAACTGGGGAAATATGAATACAAATTGGCTATAAGATGTCATGAAATTACTGTTACTTTTCTTAGGTATTATGATATGAAAGCAAGGGTCTTAGAAGAAGATGAATACTAAGGTATTTAGAAATGATGGAA